AGCAGCGGTACCACTTGGCACCGAGTGACTCAAGGAAGTCTGGCATCAGGCACCTCCCAGGAGGAGCGTCCCAAACCGACTTCCCTGCTCCGGACCATTGGCAGGACCCATTCAGCCGGGGCTGCTGAACGCACAGGCCCTCCACTGGGGTTACTTCATCCGCAGGAAGCAGCCTTGGGAGCAGAACACGCTCGGGGGCCCGTGCAGTGCGTCATTCGCCGCAGAGCTGCTAGCTGCCTGCAGGGGCTGCTGGACGCAGCAGAGCTCGGCTCTCCAGCCACAAACCCTGGGCAGTGCCAAAGGAAAGGGACGCTGGGAGGCTGCGGGTTTCCGTGCAGGAAATTCCATGCAAGTCTGGGACTCGGTGTCAGACTGTTTCTCCCTTTGGATCCCTGGGCTGGGGGGGAAGGGGGGGTGTCTGAAATCAGAGGGGCGCGTTTTGCCCCAGGACGGGCCCAGCAGGTCCATGTGACACTCACGTACCGAGGCCCCCAACAAAAGCGTAACAGAGAAGCTGGAGTTGGGCTGTGGGGGGGAGGGGGGGGGGCGGTTCTTTAACCCTCTGCTCCCAGGGGACGTGTTCGTAGTCTGGATTGTTCCACACGTACTTGCTGACGGGTATTTTGAAACAAAAGTGACCCGACCAACTGAAACTCGTGTGGTTCCACTCAGTGGACAAGAGGACGAACTTTAAAACGCGGGGCAGTTTTCTGGCGCAGAATTGCCCAGGAGTCGAGCACACAGAGGTGAGCCAGCCAGGCAAAGGGTTCCCACGGCTGACACCGATGCAGCCCTGCGAGTCCTTCAAGGCACGGTCACTCACTTCCATACGCGGTGAGCAGCTCTTATCTTCTCTGGGTCTTATGATATTTATTCCGTAGGTTCCTTCTAGAACGTGCCGCGGGACGCGCTGGCAGACGTGAGCTAGTGAAGGAAGCCGTGCGTTGAGTGCTGGGACACAGGGAGACCACTTGGCTTTAAGAGCAAAGAATGACAGAGGCTTATGAGCCTCCACACGGAGGCCTGCCTTAAAGGAACGAAAGCAGGAGAGACACACGGGTCTATTTCATCCCTCAGGCAAGTTCCTTCTAGAACGTGCCGCGGGACGCGCTGGCAGACGTGAGCTAGTGAAGGAAGCCGTGCGTTGAGTGCTGGGACACAGGGAGACCACTTGGCTTTAAGAGCAAAGAATGACAGAGGCTTATGAGCCTCCACACGGAGGCCTGCCTTAAAGGAACGAAAGCAGGAGAGACACACGGGTCTATTTCATCCCTCAGGCAATGCCCCTGAGGCACTACCCATGGCCAGACAGCCTCAGACCCCGCTAGCACACAGCACTGCTCACACCCAGCTGCTCCCACACGCCAAAACTCAGGTGCACGTTCACTGCCCAAGCTCAAGCAAAGGATATTAGAGAGATGGGAGGAACATGGTCCCGCATCTGGTCTATCGGCAGGACTCCGCAGCAGACCATCTCTGCCTTGGTAGAGACGAAGGACGGCATCACCAGCCCGGGACAATCACAGAGACACAGGCCAGGCTCCACATACAGCGTCTGCAAGGAGCACAAAAGAAGAGGACGCTTGGACGTGTGTCCCGGGAGAGGAACGGGAATGCAAGGCAGAAAATCACAGCCGGAAAGTCAGGAGGGAGGCGAAGATCCGGGCAAAAGCTCCCCAACACCACAGTGGCACGGGGATGGCCGGGCGGCGCTTGCTCTGTTGATCACGGAGGAAGAATAGAAAGTCACAAGGCCCCAGCTTCGTGCCCGAGGCCCCCC